AGATTCGCTGCACATCGCACAAGTTACCTTTTTACCTGGTGAATTGTTGATAGATTGATTGTTTATGTTTGATTGTTAGCTGTTGTTTGATTGATAGTTTCTGTTAGATTGATGGTTTGTGTTTGATAGTTGATTAGCAGTATGCAAAGACACTTTGGGTAAACTAGACTTTGTTGGTGAAGTCCTACTTTGTTTAAATTTCCTCTCATGATGTGGGCTTCCCGGTTGTACCTCTGTTTGTACCGCTTCTAATACCGTACAACGTCTATTTAAAAAATCAAAAAGTTGAGCTGGGGTACTAAGAGAGTTTGGTGTTGCTTGCTCTTCGAAAGCTTTTCGCGATTGAAAATCTAGTTTAGAAGTTAGTATTTGAGTAATTAAAGCCTCAAAGAGCGTGTCTTGTTGATGACCCAAAGTGAGTAATGATTCATAGATAGATTGTGTATTTGTAATAAATGGTTTCAACGTGCTTAGGGAAGTTTTGGTTATTTCAGGTGCCTTCAACAGTTGCTGAAAATGGTTTGATAAAACTTGTCTGATATTGTTGTATTTTGAATCTAAAAAATTCAATGCAACTGTGAAATTGTCATCTGAAATCTCTAAATTCTCAATCAGTTTGAGAGCTTCCCCACTTAAATGTGATCTCAGATAAAAAAGTTTCTCCGAAGGTGACCCCAGATTCGAATTGTTCGTGATTAAAGCATTGAAAAGATTGATAAAGGATTTGTATTCTAGATTATCCCCTGAAAACTTGGGAATTTGAATCTCCGGAAGTTTCAGACGTGAAGCTATAGCTGTAGTCTGAGACTTGGGAGTTGAAGTTACTATAGGAGCAGTTAGTTTAGAAAAAATCGAGTCTAAAGTTGAAAATAACGTGAAATACTTGGTTTCTGTAATTTCTCTGTCATTGTCTTTAGGATCAAGATACTCAATTTCATCTTGAGCTTCACAATATTTGATGAAATATGTTTTTAAAGTTTCCAATTTTGATACTATTTGAATCTTATCAGTGCAATTTACGTTAGCTTTGATCCAATTTTCGACCCTGGTGAATTGTGACTTTGAAATGGATCTGATTTTCTTAAATTCATCGATTGATGCCATATTTAATATTTGTTACTGCTTTAATATCCTGGAGTCAACTTAGGAGTGAAAAACAAAAATGGTGGATAATGTTCTTTTTTTTTTTTCTTTTTAAAATCGCTCTAAGTTAAAATATCAAAAAAAAATTGGCGATACGGTCCCCTAGAACATTGTATTTCAATTTGCTAAGGAACAAAAAACTTTTTGAAAAATTTTAAATAAATTTTTAACAAAAATCTAAGTTCCACAAATGCATAAAAAAATGTTTGACATGCAAATTCCTAGCAAATTGTGTTTAAATTTAAATTATTTGCAATTTTAATTAAAATGCAATTAAAAGATGTTTTACAAAAAAGAACACTTGTTTAAAAAGCAAAAACAATCTTAATTGTTCCACTTATGTTAGTTTAAAGATTATACATTTAAAATTGTAACATACAAAAATTTGCCAAGTTACTATAGTACATTCTCGATGTTAAAATCACAAAAAAAAGTTGATATAAAAAATGTTTATGATTCTAAACTCACAAAAAAATTGATAAAAAATGTTTATGATTCGAAGAAGGCAAAGTTTATTTGAAGAAACACTAATAGTTTGTTAAAAAATGCTTGTACAGTACCTCAAACGAAAGTTCCGCTTTCCTTGACATCAAAAAGTCGATCCGGCTCGAAGCTGACCATGAATAAAATATGAGGGTTTGTCTCATATTAATTTGATGTGATGTTCTATATTTCCTTCTAGGTTGCTGGTATGCCAAGAAATTGCGGGTAAGGTAACATGTGTGATATTATCAGGTTCTTCCTTGAGGTAATAACCCCTTTGCTCTTCTAATATTTCCTTGGAAAGGTATTTCTTCTTTGAGTTTAAATAAATGAAAACCCTTTAAATTGAATTTTCACTAGATTTTATTGAGAGAAACTGAAAATGTTTAAGTTCGGAATAGTTTTACAAAAAAATGCAGGTTAGATAGTTCGATTCTTGATGTAAGTTCATTTGGTCACGTAAACAGATGAGAACTTGTCACTTAAACCTCACTTTTGCACTTAAAAGTCTTTTACGAAGCACTTTATACAGCTATTTACAAAACATTGATGAAAAACACGTTGAAACCATTACTTGTTATATAAGAAAAAATGTTTAAAAGATATACGACCACATGTTAGCCGTTTATGAACGTTTAATTCCACTCGTACGTAAAAAAAAACAAAAACCAACAAAATACTACGAGTGGAGATGTGTACAGTGTTAAGATTGGAACGCTACTCTCAGCTCTCGGTGCGCCCACGCTGAAGGAGCCGACAACGAGTTTCCGGGTCATAGTTAACGAACCCAAAAGCCGAAATGAGTATCCGGGTCATAGCTAACGCAACCCAAGTGACGTCAAGCTGAACCGGCATTTTTCGAATATACAGGTCCGGCATTGGAATTTTATAATGATAATGTTCTGGTTAAATGTTATGAAATTTAACCAGTTTTCTTATAGTTTTTCTTGTTTTAGATTTCATTTTCTACCAGTCTTTCATTGAATTTTCTTATCTCTTTCTTAATACTTTTTCTTGTCTTCCAAAGTTCTGTGTATTATGTTCTCTGTATGTTGCTACTTACTTTTATTTCTCTTTTTTGTTTAAGCGTTATTTTAGTTTTATTGACAGTTTCTTATGTTAATTTTGTTGTTGCGGTCTTCTGATTTCTTCGGCACTATCAAGAAAGATTTCCATTAATTAAGAGCTGTCGATTTGGTCATGTAATCATTTATCAATTTTCCTTTAGTAGTGATCTGAGTTTTTCTTTAGATTGTTACTATTGGTTTTGTGATTAATTTTATTCTGTCTAGTTTTACATCAAGAACAATTTTTGCTCTAATTAGTCTATGGTCACTGCCTGTTTAAAATGTATTTATTACACTGACATATTTTACTGTAGTAATCCTGTTAGTTAGATTAAAGTCAAATTCGTTCTTACTGGTTTCATTTGATGCTACTTAAGTCTATTTTCTGTTTGATTATTTCTTAAAGAACGTACTTGCATTATGCATGTTTTGGTAGTGTGCAAACTGAATCAGTCTTTCTCCCCTTTCATTTCTCTCACCGACTCCATACTTTCCCATGACTTGTTCCTTATCTTTTCTCTTTCCCACTTTGACATTAAAGTCACCAATTAAATACTTGAACTCTTTTACTAATATTTAATGCTTCAGTTATGGTACTGTAATGTTCCTCTATTTCTTCGTCAGTGTTCGTAATCGTTGGGGTGCATATCTATATTTGTATAAATTTTATATAGTATCTCTTTAATAGTTTTAAGGTTAAGCTAACTACGCTACTCTATCTGAGTTACTAGTTATTTCTTCTACTCACTTTTTATTTCCATTTCTTGTTGATTAGGATCCAGTACCGCCTGTTCATCCCGTTGATGCTCTTCGGTAGTAGAATGTGTTTCCTGAAGCTAATTGCAAGAGCTCTTGATCTTTCCTTTTTACTTCACTGATTTCTATGATGTCCCATCTTATATTTTCAGTTTCTTTTTCCACTTCTACAAGTCTGGATTGATTTGATAGTGAGCGCCAGTTGTATGTCGCTATATATAGTGTTGTTGTTTTATTTGGGTAGCGGTTTAGACTACGCCGCTTCTTAGAACCCTCTGCCCCTTGGCTTGATCCCGAAAGCTACCCAGTTCAAGGTTATTTGAGCCTACGGAGAATGAGGGTCATGAGTGGGTCTTTCATGTTAATGGTTGTGATACTCCGCTGCCTTCGTGCGGATTGGTAAGGATTTGATGGGGTGTTTAGGTTTTAAGGCATCGAAACCGCCTTTTATCCTCCTTCTGCTATATAACGTACTCCCATAATACGACATAATATTGCCTGGGAATTACGCGACTATGGCTGACTTTTTTTTATCAGCTGTGACTCAATATTTACTATCAGTTAGGCAGTTATCGAAAATTGTAATGAATGGTTTGCTTTTATCAACAAAAGGACAACCCCTCCGATACCTTTGCCAACATTTAATAGGCGAATAGTTTGTAGTAAGACCTGTTTATAACACACCTAAAAAATTCCAGGGAAAATCTTGATATTACTTAAATTATTATTCAGTTTATATAGGCTTTTGCGTCTGAGTTTTTACGTTTTAGAGGCATCAATTAACTTCAATAATAACACATCAAGGGAAATAAAAAGGCGAATCGTAATTGCAAACAGGTGTTATCAAGATCTATCAAATTACTTAGCTAACAAACGTTCTCACATATGGATCAAAGGCATGGACTCTAACCAAAACAGATGAATTCTATGTATAGATTTTTGAAAGAAAGGTACTACGCAAGATATTTGAAGCGGTCTGTAAGAACAGAATATCGATGCTTAGATATAACTTTGAACTGCAGAATATCTACAAGCATAAGTTTGGGGGAAAACCAAACTAGTAGGCAGGACATAATGGGCTCCTGAATCGAATATGATAAAAAACATTCTAACAGCGCAACCGATGGGAATGCGAAGACGGGGTAGAAAAAAGCTGAAGTGGATAGATGGGGTAACACAGGATGCTAAGATATGGGTGTCGTTAACTGAAAAATCCAAGCAAGAGACAGAGCAGAATAGCGAAGAAAACTTGAGAAAGTTGAGGCTCTTTAAGGTAGCACCATGATGATTATGATGATGATAAGCTTTTACATAGACATTTTTAAATTTGCGTTCCCTTCATTGCAAGATATGAATCAGTTTTTGTGTTGCATATGATATCCAAATATTAATTTCGTAAGGTCTAAAACTTTTTACGTTCGTAAAAACTACCGTTTTTAGTATTAAATAATATATTCAAGGTGTTAATTCATGTGTATTAATTATGTCTCGAATATGTTTTTAAATAATATTTAACTAATTAATAATGAAGTTTTTATGTATTGTTTAAAGGTAGACCCAAAGAAGTTGAATTAACAAAATCGGAAGACGCATTAGGACTTACAATTACGGATAATGGAGCCGGATATGCATTCATAAAACGAATAAAAGAAGGTTCGGTCGTATCGCATATACCTCATATACAGGTAAGGTATGTAAATAAGATAATATAATAAAGAAATGGAACTTAAACATATGTAAAATATTTTTATTACCTTGTAAAATTATAAAACGTATTATACAAACAAGTTTTCTGCGAAGTGTCATCGATGCAATGTAGAAATAAAGTTTTTTACAGAAATCGTCATGAAGTTTACAAATAACATGATAAGATAAATTAACTTAAAGAAAGATATGAATAGACAATTATCTATTTACCGCCATCAAATACCTTTAAATAAAAAATTGTTTTCTAAAAAAATACGTTCATGTCCTTTCTACAATTTAAAAGTTCCATGGTGGAACTTTTAAATTTGTAGAAACTTCACTCACGGGAGTTCCGGTAAATTGGGTCCCGCTCAGTAACACGTGATTCCTTAACACGTGATTCATACAAGAGTCCCGAACCACTTCATATAAGAATATAAAATTTTATATAAGTTTATTGCAAAAATAAAAATCGACGTATTTTCTAGCGATTTCAGTGTAAGAATGTTTAAACCAATTATTAGTCTGATGATAAACCTTCTATCGTACCTTTCAATTAGTATATTCTGAGTTTATGCTTAAACATTTTGAATACTAATTCACATCGTATATATTAAATTCGATCTCGTCATTCGATCTCTCCTCTCGTCTTGTCAATCAAACCCACGAGTTGTGTTGATTTATCACTACTGCTAGTTGTAGAAATTGCTTTCTAAAACGTTGTGCATAACTAAATTTAAACTATGATAGGCACATGACTTTTAATATGTCAATTTCTGTATGCTAACATTAGTTTTTTCTCCAAATTCGGGATTTCCAAGAACATAATTTTTAAGATACATACTGCCACCGAAACAATGAGCCAATAAAGTCAAAAAGACTACGTCTTATGTATTCTGTTTATAAATCTGTGGTAAAACAAACTTCAGAATTTGTAAGAACTGATTATAACTTACATTTTATGCTGTCGAATTCTCCTAGTAAAACCACCCTTGCTAAAGTTCTTCGAGAAACTAATATGTTTTTTACACCATGTTTATCAAAGTCTGGACCCAAATTGATGTTGAAAACTGGAAAACTAAACTTAAGTTGAAATTAAAATCTTCTGAAATGTGAGGCAAAAAATAAAATCTCCTCTTTACTAGAAAAATAGCCACAAAGAATCAGTAAGGAAATTATTGACAAAAAATAAATCGGTATTTATCTTTACTCTTTTACTCCAGTCGCCAGACACGAAAATGCCGCTCAACCTCAAAAATCATACGAATAAACTGAATTTTGCGGAAATTATTAATAATGGAACTCAAAAAAGAACAAAAAAGTTTACCACTTTTACCTCCGGCCTTCGCCCTAAATTCCCTATTGGGGGGTAACAACGCAAAAAAATCGATTTACCAAGAATCCCTAAGCCGTAGAAAAAAATGTTTTAAATAAAAAATGTAGCCTAACAAATTTTAAACTAAAATGTTCAGTAGCACTTTTTGTATAAAAAATAACGCTTGAAACGACCGTTGATTTTGAATGTCAGTTCAAAATCGACGGTCGCGCGCGAAATCAATACCCAATAAAATTTGTATCAGCACGACGGTTAAAATTCATTCGACGGATCTTTTGATCCGAGTGTCCTATCAACAAAAATCAAGATGCATTTTAAAGATAAAAAGTGCAGGTTTTGTATGCAACTTTTGTATTTTGCCACAAATGAACTTAGTTTTTAAGAAGTGTTAAAAATAAATAAATGTGGCGCGATTTTTGCCATTTTTTATGATTCTCATGAGATTAATACAATGTATCCCTTTCATTGTCACTACCTACCAGAGGTCTACTACCTCTTAAATGCACCTCAGAGGAAAAAGCTTCTAGGTAATTAATGCCATATTCTGCGTAGAGTAGAATTTACATAGAATATATTTTATTTGTAGTAACTCCATCTTGAAAGGAACATTTCAAATACTCCGTTTTTGTCGTACTAACTTTTAAACCTTTTTACTCAATAGCTTGTCTTAGGTTACTGTTTTAGGTTTTGTTTTAAATCTCTTTAAGTATTTTCTACTAACACTACGTATTCACCATACATTAAGCACCAGAAAATATTACTTTGTAGTTTACCTGCTATCTGACCCAATAATGAGAATAAATAAGGACTAAACACTGAGTTCCACATTGAAATGAAATTGATCAGCCTATTCCACACGTGTCCTAACACTAATTGTTAATCCTTCATACACGTCTCTCATCTTTACATATTCAACAGAAACTCCTTTCTTATTAATCGCCAACGATAGGATCTCTAGAGAAACTGATCCGCCTGATCCGCTTGGCTATTTGACCGAATTCTACATTTAATAAATTCTTCTACACTTAATAAACTATCAAAGTACGTTTGTCTATGTTATATATCTTTGCTTTACATTCCCTAGTATCAAGTTTATCGTATAAATTTCTATACATTTCTGCTTTAGCTTTTGCTACTGCTACTTTCACTTCCTTTTTAGCGATCGTATAGTAGTAGAAATGACCTCACTTCAGCCCACTTTGACCTTTGATCCCATTTTCTGGTGGAGGAGTTTATTATGTCTCGTTAGGTGTACGTCAGATATTTTCAAGTCATCTGACCATCTCATTTGTGGTCTTCCTCTTTTTCATTTGTAACTATATGGTCTCCAGTGTATAATCATCTTATTCCATCTGTCGTCTTTCTGTCTTATGGTATGTCCAGCGAACTTCCACTTAAGTTTTGCTATCTGCATTGATACATCGGTCACTTTTGTTTTGTTGCGGATTCAAGTATTTCTTTTCTTGTCTGATAGGCTGATGTTCAGCATTTGCCTTTCCATGGCTCTTTGAGTCTGCTATTTTTCCATGTTTTCCTTTGTAAACGTCCAAGTTTGAGAACCGTAGGTGAGAACTGGAAGTATACATTGGTTCAAGACTCTTGTTTTTAAATATTGGGGGTATTTTCTATTTTTTAGTATATAGGAAAGTTTTTCGAAGGATACCCAAGCCAACCGTATTCTTCTCTTTATTTCTCCGGTCTGATTTCCTTTATTTAATTTAACTAGTTGGAACAAATATACATATTTTTTTACTTGTTTTATAGTTGTTTGTGCAATTGTAATTATTAATTCGTCTGGTTGGTTGGTCATAATTTTCGTTTTATTATAATTCATTTGTAGACCTATTTTTGTTGATTCGTTATTTAATTCATTAATTTTGTAATTCTTCCCTTTTATCTGTTATTAATACAATGTCGTCTGCATATCTCAAGTGCTTCAAGTATTGGCCATTTATATTAATACCCCGTTTTTCTAAAGAAAGGTTATATTATTTGAAATTTTCACTTTTTGGCGGACTATCACTTACATACTTTTCGGATTTGGCACTTTGTGTCCGCTGATTTTCACACTCACTGCATCACATAATTTACTCACTGCATCTTCATCTTCTCCATCATTGCTATTACTGACATCGCTATTATGGTCATCGCTATTACTGTCATCGCTATTACTATCATCGCTATCATTGTGAACCGTTAAATTTATTACTACAGGATCAATATTGTTTATCAACCCATGAATAACCCAAAATTTGCACTTCGTTAATAGCAAGTTTACAATAGTTTTTTCAGTTGTCCACTGTTACTACACCAAATGCATTTCTTATTTACTTTTTCCATTGCGGCGGTATTAAACTCTGTGTTGTGTAAGACGATATTGACTTGACTCCATATCTTTTCATTTGGATTGAACTCCCAATGTTTTGCAGATAGTCTCAGAATGGCAACATTTTTTTCTTTGCTCATCTCGTCGATTTTATATTTTACGTACGCAGATTATGGCGTGTTCTTTGATTGTGTTTACGACTTCCGCTTTGATTTTAAATAATATTTCAATCAATAATCAATCAATTCAAAAAAGATATCTTTATTAAACGCTTATGTCGGAACTAGTTCTTCTATCCTCGAATGGTACGAGGAATTGTCCATCAGCACAACAGTTTTCTCTGAAATATTAGGAAACAGCTTTTCCTTAAACCAATATTCAAATAAGGACCATCCATCTCATCACGATGGTCCGCTGAGTTTTTTTTTAGCTCAAAAACAAAAAGCAGCACTTTCCACATAACCCAATTCACTACCCACATAACAAATCGGAGATCTCATTGTATCGGCTATTTTAGGCCTGTTGACAACCCCTCAACAAACGCATCCCTGACTGAAGTCACTGAGAGGTTCTTCCAATCTTTGGAAACACTATGCCTGACATTTACCCAATTTTCATCCAAAGAAACTACGGTGTGTCTTTGGGAACGATTTTTTTTTATCTCACGCAAATACTAATGTCTTCATTTCAGAATGTCGAGCCGTTTCATCATGGTCGACTTTACATCGTGGTGCAAAAAAAAGTTTATTTTATGGAGTATTATCCACAATATTGTGCGTAACACGTTTGCTAAATCTTTGTCTTTTTTAACCAGTGCAAAAACTTAATTCAATGTCGGCTGTAAATTTTTAAAGAAAACTGTGGACGATGGCACGGAGCCGCGAATGAACTACTGCGTCGTAAGTGAACTTTCTGCTGTTCACTCTACTTTTGGTACCTTTTCTTGTTTTTTTTTTACGAGCCTTAGTCCTCCTTCCACAAATAACACTAGAACCTACTCTCGTCATACCACTTACGTTATCGATTAAACTTTTAATAATTTGTTTAAATTAAACAATTTAATTTAAACAACGATTTAACGATTTTAACGATTTAAAATAATTTGTTTTGCACAGATGTCCATGATATTCTCTTGGCTTAATTTTTGAATTTCCATTTTTAATGATTATTAAACTGTGAAGTCAGAATAACTACTAAACAACGTCTATGCATATGCGTCTATATTCTCTGGTGAAACTGCTCTATAGAACAACCTCCAACTGCACTAAAATATGCCATTACAAAACCCTCAGGACGATCCTTGTCCTACAGACAACCGACAACCACAAACCCTTTAGAGATAACTAAAAAACATAAACGTCATATAATATTGAATATATATAAGTTTATACTACCCTTTTCGTATATTTGACTTACTGATAAATTAGATAACATAAAAACTAGTTATACCTACCATATATTCTTTAGTAACAAGGAAACCACCAAAAGTTCTAAAAATATGTTTATAAAATATGTATAATTCTATAACCATGGTTTCGAATAATAACTTCTTTTACCTAAATTCTCCATCCCCTTTTTTAAAAATATTTTATTACGCTAATTAAAAAAGTTAAAAAACGTTATACCCTTTTAACCTCACTGATATTTCAAGTTTTAATATTTGTCTATTACAGGTGGGTGATCACATAGAAAAATTAGACAATCAAAATATGATCGGAAAACGTCATTTTGAGGTAGCAAAAGCACTTAAAGAAATTCCAAGAGGCGCTACATTCATAATTCGACTTGTGGAACCGTTGCAAAGTGGATTCGCAAGTATATCACCAAAAACAGGTAAAGTCAACGGTAGTAAAAAAGGATACGGAAGTGGCAAGGAAACACTGAGATTTAAAGCTGGAGGAAAAGCTGAAATTCAACAGCAGGTAAGAATATTTTGGATAAAAATATTAAAATTTCCAATATTCTATTTATACTTCTCATACTTTTAATGTTGGTTCATAATGATGTGTATTCAAAAGTAGTAAAATACTTACAAAATAGCAAATTCCGCGGTTAAAACTTACTCGAACTAGTTAAATGTATTTACTCGTACGTGTTCCATATTAATTCATTGTTCCAAAGATGTTCCTTTTAATTCTTTTAATTTATATTTACCACTCTACAAACTACAAACCACCTGGTAAATCATAGCCCGATTACGTAGTACCAATAGCTAGCGATCCTGCTATGTGTAAAATGTCAACAGCCACTACGAAGCTTGGAACTACACCGCTAATAACGACGCAGGCAATTCCCTATGTGAGTTGGCTCAACTCAATAACCTTCAACCAGCTTTTGATGTAGCAGAAGTCAAATGCAAGTTTAAATAAGCTTCCTGAGTAAAAGATTCAAATTCCGTTATGTTTTGTAGGTCCCAATAATCGAGATCAACCACTTCCATGCTCAAGAAAAGTCCATAACAAATTTTCCCACAACCCCGACTTCTTGTAAGTTGGTCTCAGAATATCAATTATTATTTCTGTGCCGAAGTCTCTAATTAAATTTAATGAAAATAATTGTAATTGAAATGCACTGCATATTTAGAAAAGTCTACAAACTGGGTTCCATTAGAAATAAGCGACTGGATCGCTTTAGAAAAGATTTCATCTCGGCTGTAAAAAAACAAAAAAAAATACATTCCAAGAGGTTATTAGAAAAGAATATATACCAGGCTGGGATGATGATGCAGACCTATTAAATATCCATTTCTCAAAACAAGAAAACTAAGAAAAAAGTATGTATATGAATTGTTAACGTTTCTTGACGAAAAAATGAAATAAAAATGGACGGATAAAAATGTAGACTTCAGATATTCTATTTTTCTTTTAGAAAGGTTTGCAGTCCGCTGAGGAAACTTAGTAGTGGTACAATACTAATAAACAGCAAAACAAACTCAGCTACTTCTGATCAGGTAGCTGCCGGAACAGTTAACTTATCCTGGGCACCATCCCATACAGCATATATACTACTAAAGCTAAGCAAGAACTTGAACTTTTTAAAAGGAGTAAATTAACGAATTTTTAATCAATACCAATTTTGGAACCCAAGTAAGAGAATGGTTGCGTAAACCGGTTTCAAAAATTACCCAGAGTAATAATCTCCTTAAAGAATTCAAAGACGTAATGGTAATTCGACATTTTAAAACGTAGCAAGTCAAATGAAACTCCAGAGAACATTAGGTTCATATCTTTACTGAGTTGTGCTTATAAAATTTTGGAGAAACTTAGACTTTGGACCCTATAGAAGCTGTTGTGACCTAGCACTAATAATCTACCTATATTAAAGCCCGCTTTCAGAATCAGTTCAAAAAATCTGTGGCATTTATAGACCTCTAGTTCAAGATATAACGGTTTTCTGCTCAGAATTCTTTTTATATGCATGAAATTGCTTGAAATTTTGACAGTAGGTAAAAAACAGCTCAAAGATTAAAATCTACCCTATGCCAATATGTGCTTTTTCTCTGGGGTGGTTATTACCTCAACTCGAAGCTGGAAGAAGTTTACTAAGAAAAACCATGGTGATCGCAAGAATGGTGAATCTTAAGGCAATAATGTTCGAGTTTTTTTTTTTGAAAAGTCAATATTTTTGTAGTTATTCGTATTCACAAAACGTGTAGCTTTTATAAAAAACGATATCTGTTTTATTATTATCGTTAACTTAATATTAACAAATTTGTGGCTTTTCGAAAGTAGATTTTTATTCATCGAATATAAAAATTCAAACATATGACGTTGAATAACCAGAAAACGTTTTCCCGATAAAATCTAAATTTTTGGAGTTCGCGAAAAACCATTAAAACTACTTTTTGGCGTGTAATTTGTAAACTTTCTTCCCCGAATAACTACAAAAATATTGACTCTCCGAAAAAACTCGTAAAGATAATTTTTGTCTTAAAATTGACTATTCTAAAGATAATCCAACGATTTTGATCTTTGACTATTTTTTTAACTACGGTCAAAATGTCAATGAAATCGATGCCTATAAAGAAAATTCTGGAACTACTCACAGTAGCTTATGATACAGTATGGTGAGACGGACTCATATACAAGTTTGTACAAATCATTTCTTGCGAAATAATTGCTCGATTAATCAACCAGATACTCTGTGACAAAAGATTACAAAATATTATGTGACAAAATAAGTAAAGAAAGAAAACTGAACAATGGTTTCCTCGGTGCTCAGTCTTTGCACCATTAACACTTACGACTAGATTTATATTGATAGAAATTTAAACTTGAGATTTAAAAACTATAAAAGAAAATAAAAAAAAATGGAGACTGTCCTAGTGCAAGAAAAACTAAAGTAAGCTGTTTTCATATCAATAAAAATAGGTACACAGAAAACAGAAAATTAAGGATTACTTTTCAAGACAAAACATGCCTAAATAATCAGTATTCCAAATATAGGACTTACACTAGACTGTGCCCTCTTCTTTAAGAAACGTCTTGAAATAGGCTCTGCCAAATTGAAAACTAGAAACAATAATATTCAAAAGCTTACTCCAGAATGTACATATGAATAGTCATTACTTAGTGTATAATGTATATTGATACCTAACTTCACAGTACTAGGTATAGACGACCGGCAAACTCCCAAATAGTGCTTTAGTTTTTAAAAAAAACACAGAAGTTAAAACACTTCACAAATGTGTATTTAGGTATAAAACAAACAAGTTAAAACTTTTTAAAAAAGTGTCGTCACATTTAAAGTTCTGGCAGAACGTTTTCGATCACTACGGATCATCTTCAGTGCCTCGTATTTGTTGCTAACTATATAAATATGGTGTCTATAAGACTTCCATGTTTGATTTGGTAAAGTGTCACATTTTACATTAGGTAATGTTGATACTGTAGGTCGATGACAATGGATGTATTTAAAATTTATTCTTTAATTATTTATTAATTATTTAAATACATCCATTGTCATCGACCTACAGTATCAACATTACCTAATGTAAAATGTGACACTTTACCAAATCAAACATGGAAGTCTTATAGACACCATATTTATATAGTTAGCAACAAATACGAGGCACTGAAGATGATCCGTAGTGATCGAAAACGTTCTGCCAGAACTTTAAATGTGACGACACTTTTTTAAAAAGTTTTAACTTGTTTGTTTTATACCTAAATACACATTTGTGAAGTGTTTTAACTTCTGTGTTTTTTTAAACGATGGTATACAGCCAATTACGGGGTTTTTCCCATTAATTTTGCTTTAGTTTTTCATAAACCCATAAATCGCTATCAACTGGTCAGTTTAATGAGGTATAACAGATTTCGTGAATAACAATTGCAAAATAGGCATTTGGTGGAGCTTTTCCAAGTATAATTCAGCCACCATACGTGCGATTAACATTCAAAACTCCCTCATTTTAAAGGTAATTGTTTCATCTTAAAAAAAACTTTGTAAGATTACTTTCACAAATTAAACACTAAAAATTTCACCAAAAATTAACCGATTAACTTTGAAAATCTTGCTAATGGAAATCATAGAACAACTCAAAACGAACATTTTAAGCTTTGGCAGATGTTTCACAAGGTCGAATCTATATGGATTTTACATATACTGGTTTTTTTCGCTACGTCTCAGAGCGCGTTATTGAAAGTTTTATGCTTTTGTCAAAAATTAACATACAAACATCTACCAAATCCTAAAATGTTTGTTTTGCTTTGTTATGCGTTGTTATATTACTTCCATTAATTTTTGGTAATTTTCCAAATTTTCAGACTTCAAAGAAGCAAATACAATTATTATTTTTTGCTAAAAACCTAGATTTCAAGGGTTATTCGGTAGTTTTTACTGAATTTACCTAACTTTTTTACCTTTCTATATGAGCAAAATCCCCAAAACCCGGGTTTTTGGCATGTTTTAAGAAATTTCTAGCTTCTCTGAATATGTGAATTATATCGTTTCGGGTTATTTTATAAAATAAAAGAAAACTACTTAATGATGTAGAAAGGTAAAAAAGTTAGGCAAATCCAGTAAACAAATACCCTACGAATAACGCTCAAAAACATGGTTTTTCGCAAAAACAAATGAAGACGTATTGAATCAGGTTGTATCGACCTCAAATGATACAATTAACCTCCAAAAACTCGCAAAATCCGTAAAAAGATTGCAAAAAATGGTTCTTGGGGGTTTAACGGAGTTTCCCGACATTTTTTAATGCCCTGAAAGATTCAGTTATTATTCACTCGCATTATTTTTTTCCTTCTGCAGTCATCTCCAGAAAATAGATCTGCAGTCATCTCCAAAAAAAGTTACAGATTTTTCGAAATGTCGGTGTAGAGGGTGGGAAGAAGAGGTGGAGGGTTAAAATTCCGCTTAGTTTTATTTTTTAAACACGTAGAACGTAAAAAAAATTTAAACAATTTAATTCTCTGAGTGAGGGGTTACCCTTTTTAATTAGAAAAAATACCAGAGGAGTAGCATACGATTTTTTTAAAAATCGCCATTTTGTTTGCCGCAAATTTTTATTACGAATATTTTGATACCAAATTTGCCCGGTTGCCAGCGAGTTATAGGCCACGGTCATCTTTTTGGGGGTTCCCTTATAATATCATAACTGTATCGTTAAGATGCATCCCAATCCGATGGCTTGCTATTCTATCAGGAATAGCCCACTTGATATCCGCAGAAATAGTGCGCTAGTAAGAGAACATAAAAATATTATTAAAAATTTACCCTGTACACCAAAATTCGAAAGACAGAAAAATGCTAAGAAAAAAAGAAATATGTTAAACTTCAAAAATCCGTACTCGTTTCAGGTCCCTAACATCAGACGGTTTTAACACAAACAAATGTTAAAAAAATATGGTACAAAGCATAGAAACACACATTCATATAGAACACTCTCCAAATCAACTGGTTAGAGGATTTA